ACCTGGGGTGAGTGCTTGGTTGGATTCTGGTGAGGATTATTTGAGCCTGATGGCCAATCCAACCCACCTGGGGCTGGACTCTCAGAGAGGGGCACGAGTTGAGTGACACTTAGAGTCAGAGAAAGTAGTATGTAGTTTTAGTATCCTCCTTTTATATAGTATATTAATGTATTTTAGCATACTTATAATTAAGAAATAATTCAGCCTTCTGAATTAAGTCAGACATCATCATTTCTTCCCATTAAGTTCACCTGCATTTACAATACACATCAAGAGAACCAATCTCTGATCTGTAGGATAAATCACGTCTTTACTCGAGAAAAAAGTCATAAAAAATAAAGTAGCCTAGAAACCAGTAAAACTGGGGACAGAACCACATTGTAACTGCAGGAAACAGAGGAGAAAAGATTAGGAGGTAAAAGAACCCCTTGTCACTCTATTCTGGAACAGTTTGTGTCCTCCCTCTCACCACCATGGAAAGCCACACAAGGGTTTTCATTCAAACTAGAGAAATTTGGGCTGTTTTCAGAGTAATCAGATGAAATTTCAGTTCCCCCACCCCAATGCGTGGTCTACTGTGTGCTCTTTGCAAGATAAGTGCACTTTTTTAGCTAGGAAAGGGGGCAGATGTTTCAACTGGAAGTTCCCTTTGGAACTTTCTGACCAGCATTTTGTTCATCAGCGACGATGGTCAAACCTCACACCCAGAGAGGAGGGGAAGCTTAGGGCAGGCATGTGATCTCCTTCCCAGATTCCCTTGGCATTTTCCAAATTCTCCATTCATTTCTGCAACCTTGTCTTGAACCCACTTAGAATTTGCCTTTATGGCAATGCTTTCAGTGTTGGGCTGACGTTGTTAATTTTCCCTTAAAATGCTTCATTTTCCCTTATGGCATTTTACCTTTTCTCTGTAGGTCTCAGTGGCTAAGTAAGCAGGGTCAACACAGAATAAACAGAATATCTGTTGGCTGTTTTCCCATCAAACTGATTTGGACTCAGAGTTCTGTTTTACTCACTGTCATAATCTGTTCACTCAGGAGATGGAGAAAATCCTTAACTTCTTAACGCACTCTGTGGATTAAGTGTGGGTGTTTCTCTGATTTCTAAAATCCCTTCAAATCATCAGAAATTAACTCTATTACCAAAACCAGGTGTTTCTACATTTCCCATAGACCTAATCCTCTGGAACATGGGTCTTTTTCTGGCTTGAAACCCAAGTAATGAAAATAAAGCTTGTGCTTAGAAAGGGGAGGAGAGGCACTACCTCATCCTCTCATCATTTCCTAAACTTGATTTAGCTAAAACAGCTGGAGATAAATCCCACTCCCAGCTTAAAGGTGTCATTTTAGTTTGTCCTGAACCACAGAATCCTAAAATTAGTTGGAAGGGACCTTAAAGATCATTTAGGTCCAACCCCCTTCCATGGTCAGGGAAAACTTCCACAGACCAGCTCTGCACAGGCCCAGTTCCAATACAGATAAAATGGTCTGAAAAGTTAACTGAGTGTAATAGTGGAAATAAAGAAACACAGATCCATTGCAGATATCTGTGTTAAAAAAAAAATAAAGATATATGGTATGTGTTCTTGTCGCTTCAAGAAAGGTATTTATTGTCCACTTTGACACAGTGGTTTTGTTCAATCACAGCCGAAGTGACAGGAAAATCCTACTGATCCATAAAATTGGAAATAATATTTAAACATTATATTTTCATACTGTTAAATTTTAATATATATTAAAAATGATGGCATTTGAAGCAAAATGTAGCAGAAATAAACATTCCAGTAATTTAATTTATGTTATGAAATATGAACACGATGTATTTTTATTTGCAGCTAGATAACATTACCCCAAAAATCCTGAAATATTCATAGAAACTGCAATTTAATTTTATTTTTTTTAAGCTCTTTACTATAAGATTTTCATCATGTGCCATAGAACAATTTCCACAGAGCAAAAACTTCCCCATGATTCTGATGAATTTTGCAGTGGGCAGGATCTGATGAAAAGCTTTGTCCTTCAGGGATAATGGCAGAAATGAAGAGTACCATACAAATTGGTTCAGGTAACAAATGATGCCAGTCAAATTTTTATTCCAATAATCAATCTGAAGGACCTTTGGGACACTTTTAATATTCTTATTTTTTTCTCATCTCCAGTGTCCTGCTCTAAGTTCAGTGTCATCACTGTGGGACAACCCTTGGAAGAGGTACCAAGGGTTTACTGCACCAGAGCTTGAAACATAATTCAAATAAAAAACAAAGTATTGAACAGTTATCCTTGCTTCACTGAAAACTGAAATTATTTCATTATATAAAAACAATAATAGTGACCTCTCCTTGATGTCAGATAAAGACAGAAGAACCAGGAGTGTTCTCAGTCATTATGGGATACACTGTGTAATTTCATTCATATAAAATATATGCCAGAAGAGAATTTGCCATTAAACTTAGCAGTTACAGTGTGTGGGGAAACATGTAAGGCACTAAGCTAGACAGAAAAAATCAGTGTAAAAGGGTTTTTGCCTGAAGATGAAAAAATGATGACAAGACTAGTGGGCAAAAGCCCAACAGAAAATGCCACCTGAATGTGAATTTAGAAGAAACTAATCAAGTGCTCCCACAAAAAAAAAGGGATATTTCCATTCAAAAATACTAATTGGAAGGTATTGCTTATTTTTAGGTATCTGGCAGATGTTTTTGAGGATAGGACCAGAAAAGTTAACCAATATCATACAATGAGTTGTGGTCAGACATTATTTTGAGACCAAGTGATTTAACTTGCACCTAAGCAGGCAGAAACTTGAAAATTAACACCTAAAACTGAATTTCTTTTACTTCTGCAGCCTGCAGTGAGATCACTCATGCCCCCAGGCCTAGCAGCACCTTTTTGTTTCTGTCCTTACCCATTGCATTGAAACCCTGTAGCAATTTGCACACCCTGGGAATAATTTTCTGTCTTCAACCCAGTTTTCTGTTGCTCTGGCCCTACTTCAAGTGAAAGCAAACCACACTTAGCCAGATTTATTCTTCAAAGGTTAAGGAGTTTCTGCTGCTTTTACTTTTCATACTTGTGTTATCAAACCTTGCATGTGACAGACAAGAACATGTAGGAAAATAATCTTATGTGATAAGTGTGCACATGCTCCTGAACTCATGTTAAGACCAGTAAAAATAATCTAAATTCAATGCAATTCCCATCTTGAAAAGCTGAATTGCTACAGTTTTTGAATCCTGCTCAACATTTTATATTCAATATAGGATTTAGTAAAAATTTAATGCAATCCTAATCTCCATGTCATGCCTTGTCATAACTGATATTATTACTCTAATTAAAAATTTTGAGTCATAACTTGTGATTTTAACCACTTCTGTTTCCATTTTCAGCCATCCCCAATGGAAATATTCCCTGGATAGTAGCTAGGGTTTATTTCAGGAAGGAACAAAATGATATCTTTAAGATTCCTGCTCTTTTTTATGCTAGAAAATCTGAGATGATTGGAGAAGGACAAAGATTCAGTGTGTAATAACCTTATTTAGGTGGAAATGGATGCCACAGGTATTGGAATGCAGCCAAATAATTGTGCCTATTATAGATTATACAGAACTATAATATATATATATATATATTCTGTATATAATATATATATATATATATATATATATATAATACAATCTGTATCAATTATATCAATTGGAAATAATTATATTATTTCCAATTATATTTTGAAATAATTATATTATTTCCAAATAAATATCCAATTAAATAGTTATATTATTTCCAATTATAATTTGAAATAATTATATTATTTCCAAATAATGGAATTATTTGGAAAGAGCAACTATTTTTGATGCAGAGGGATTTGGATCAATCACTTATTGATCCACTTAATCCAAATTTCTATAAAAACAAGAGCCCTGAGAAGTCCCTGTGTTCATGTGCCTTCATATCTGTTACTAACCCATCCTGTTAAAGTCAGAGTCAATGTGGAAACCCCATTTCAGAATTTCAGGGCTAATTACAATTTAAAACATCTATTTGATATGGTCAAGAGTCTTAATAAAGCACTTTAAAACACAGGGAGACCAGAAAGTGCCATCACACATTCAGATATCTGCTGAGCCTCACAGTGGTTGATCTGTTCAAGAGAAGAAGGAATTTAATTTGGGTTTTATTGCTTTTTGCCTTATGCTTTTAGGGCATGATGGTGTTCACAGTAAATTTGCTGATTTTCCCACCAGCAGCAATGCAGCAGCTGCAAGAAATTTTCTATCGAAACATTTATGGGGAGAGATGGGTAAAATTTATCTGTCTTTCCTGAGTTATTATTATTTTAGCTGATAGAGACTGTGATCTTTGGGAGGCTGAAAATCATTCCTGTCCAGGAAAGAGCTCCTGTTTATTGGTTATGCCACTTTTCCACCAGAGCTGGGTGCTGTGGGACACTGAAAGCCATGTGAAGGCTTTTCTCTGTTAGTCCTTTTCACCCAGATCAACTTGAATTCTTCTGGATAATGGAAGGAAACCAGTAAAAACAATGTCATGATCTCCACATTATAAAATGTGTTCCAAGGAGTCACTTCAGAAATGGAAATAAACTTCTCCCACCCTCAGGTCTGAATCCAGGCATTGCTGTAATTTTCACAGGTAAAAGAATAAGAAGGGGGAAAAAAAACACTTTTTTTTTTTTTTTTTAAGTGGAAGAGGAAAATCCTGAGAAGTCAACTTTTATACAACATCCCATTTCTTCAGGTTAGCTGTAATTACGTGGATTCAGCAAAGGGAAATTTCTGGTTTTTAATCAGACTTGGCAGCTCACTGAAATGTTCAGAAGTGTATTGATGCAATGATCCTCACTGGTTGGTACAGCTTAAATTTCTTCACTCCTTTCCAAGCCCTGATATTCCCATCAAAAATTTAATCAATCTTTTAATCTACAGGTTACAATACCATTGTGGGAAAAACCCAAAAACAAAATAAACCAAAGCAAAACCACTCAAGTACAAACACTGTGAATCCAAGTTTATTTTCAAGCTTCTGAATATTTTACAACACTGAAGAGCAAAAACAGTCACACGTAAGAAAATATTTAGCAATATTCCCAGCAGTCTCCCAGTCCATCTCCTGGGGGTCTCATTCTCTTTCTGTGTAAAAGTTGGCTTTTTCTTTTCATTTCCTTGCAAAGAATTTCCTTAATGATTTTTGTATGGAGCCTTGGCCTTCTCAATGCCTCCTTTTCCCGCTACTTGGCTGCCAGAAATTTTCTAACCTGTAACTCTGTTCTGAAATAACATCAGAACCTGAGAGTGTTTTCTGGTGAAATTGAATCTTTTTGCTACTAAAGAGACAATGTAAAAAGACAACATGAAAGGGCTTTTTGTGATGCAGTTCAGCAAGACTTTGGGCTTCTTATTTATATGTCTGTGAAATCAAACCATGGAACAAAGCTTGAAGAAGCTGGGTAGACTCCAGCTCCCAGTAAATTAGAATTGAATTCTGTTTTCCAGAGGTGGTCATCTATGGTGTCACTGGAGGGTGCTGCTGGTGGCATTCATAAAAACTTTGTGCTCTATCAGTGTAAGTGTAGAAATTAACCAGAATAAGTGATTTTTATATTTGCTGTGCTGCAGAGTTATCACTGAGAGGGTTATTTTGCTTTAGAAGATCAGTCAGGGTTTAATCTCTCCCTGCAATGCTTCTCTTAAGAAAAAAACCCCATGGTCAGAATTGAAGTATCCCTCACCAATTTGCTCAGGATAAACTGTAATAAATACATTTGGTAAAAGTTTGTTTGGTTGGGTTTTTTCCCCTCCAGAGCCTGAGGGCATTTTCAGCACACAGATGTGGTCATTTTCACCCCAGAGCTGGAGGGCACCGTCCACCTTGTCCTCCTCCACACTGGCACCAGCCCGTACGTCTTCCCGTGCCACCTCCGGCCGATCTCCGTTTGCACCTCCGGAACAAAGGAAAAGGCTTTTTGTGGTTGGATTCTGCTGGGGGGCAGACAGTGGGAAAGAAGCAGGACAGAAAGAGGGGCTAGAAAAGGATAAAATTTTTAAACATCTCTGTCCAAGTCAGCTTCATTTTAGCTGATAGGGAGAAGTGGAATGCTGTCTCAGCATGGCCATCTTTCTGCACTGATGAAAACTCCTGAAGTCCTATCAGTACTAAGCTTGAGGTCTCTAGCACTATAAAACATTTTCTCCATAAATATCTAAAATATCTTAGCTTTTTTCATACACCTTCTCCTTTTTTTTTTTAATATTCCCATGAATATTTATTCTACCATCAATCTCACCAACATAGCCTACACAATTAAAGATATTTTCTCCACATTGCCTGCTCTTTCTCAGTTGCCAAGGGATGTTGTCTTGGTTCCATCTGCTTCTAGAAAAGTATAATCTGCAGCAAGTTTCTTAATCAGCATTCACCAATTTGTGGCTGGGAAATGCTGCTTTGCCATTTGAGATGATGGGGGGAAAGCCAGCAGCAGTCAGGAGGCATTTGCTGTGTGTTGTTGACAGCTGTGTCGTTGTGCATGGTGTACTGGCATGTTCACAGGAGCACAGAGTGGGTCCAGGCCACCCACTAAATCCTCCTGTCACATCTGATTCTTGTTAGGAATGTGCCTCCCCAGATGTTTAATAGGAAGGGAATTTCTGTCTGGAAGTGCTGTGTGCCTGGGAAGTCAAGCTGGATGTGAAGCTGTGGTCTGTGGTTAGAAGGGATTAGGGTTATTAATAAACTAATGACAGGATTTTTATCTAAACACAAGCATCATTAGAGCAGCCAGTAATTCATGGCCATAAACTCAACCAAAAGGCTAAGAATATAAATATATGTTAATATAAATATATTAACATATATTTTAAAAATTGATTTAATATTTCAGAAATTTCTGATAGAATTCAGAAACTTTGACCTATGGCACATGTAGGTGATTAAATACTGTTTGAAAGCTTAATCAGCCCTTGACTTTAAACTTTAAACTGTAAAATGAAAGTTTAGCAATACAGTCCAGGGAGTCTAGAGTGGTCAGGGATGAGATTCATCTCCTAAACACACCTCAGACACTCCAGGGATGCCCTTTCTGGGGAGAAGGGTGGGCATCTATGGAACAGGATTCTCCTTTTCAGGGGCTGCAGGCAGAATACAGCAGAGTGTTAGTCTGAAACTGAACCCCAGTCATATTCCAAAGGAGCAATCTCAGCTACTCTGGAGTCAGAAAATGAGGGAAAATTCCAGAGTTTCAACATATTCTAAAATGTGGAGGATAAACTTTCATGTTTTCTGTATAATTCCTTTAAGATGCGTTATTATAACATCTAGATTGTGTAAATGGACCTGGACACTAAGGTAAAAGGAAAGACTCCTCTCCCATCAACAGTGAAATTCAGACTTAATAATTCTAAACAGAAAACCAGATTTACAAGAATTTTACTCAAATTTTACCAGGGAAATTCTGGCTTAAACATTCTAAACAGGAAACGAGATTTACCAGAATTTTACATAAATTTTACCAGTAAAATTCTGACTTTAACATTCTAAACAGAAAACCAGATTTTCATTTAACATGAAGAAATACTGAGATGCTTCATGAGACTGTCAAAAATAGTAAAAAAATATATTTCACTACTGGGGAAAGGTATGCATTTAAATTTTTTCCAATTTAAACATAGACCTTTAGTAAGTTGAGATCTCTCTGCATCGCTGAAGAAAGTTGTATTTTCAGATCTGGACTTAACAGGGGTTTTCCAAGCCCTGCTATAGGACAAAAAATGTGCCAAAAGGATCAAAAATACTTGACAGAATAGCAAAGTAGTAAAAGTTCATTTCTCCACTAGATGGCTTCATTCCCATGAAGATCATTGAAATGAAATTCATCAACATTGTTACCCACGTAACAGTCATAGGAAAATGAAAGATTTTGTTATGTTTTGTATGAAACTGATTATTAACTACATATTTGCCACTGAAGGCAATATTGTAGAAGATATATCTGATATAGTTTCCTTACCTCTTGGTTCAGGAAACAATAGAGAACTGCCACAATAAACCCCTGAAAAAGACAAGAAGAAAAAGTTTTGAGGGTTAACACAGTCTGAAAAAGCCAGTTACATTATCTAACTTCATGGTATGTGTGCATCACTATAGGTGGGAGATTGCTGGAAGTTGGAAGATAATTTATGCATCTCCAAAAAAGCTGAAAAACTTCAAAGATAAACACCTGGTTAGTGGCATTTCACCAGAATCAGTCCCACGCTATGAATTCACAACTGTGATTGATGATTATGGAAGTGTGGCCCACTCTCCAGCCCAACACACTGACAGCTGATTCTTTATGGACTCTAAAGAAAGTAAAAAAGACTGCTGAAGGAGATCCATGGATGGAGCTCACACAGCTCTCCAGTCAAATTCTGTCTCTGTGTAGGTTTCCAGATGAGATCGAATTCTGGCCTATTGAATGTATTTGTTAAGATTCTGAACTGAGGTAAATCCAGGACAAAGCCTAGGAGGTCAAAGGACCTACATGGTCAGATCTTGGCTCAACACCTCGACCTTTTATTCCATTAAATAATTCATTAACTATTCATTAACTCAGTGAAGGTCCCCTCCCTTTACAGAGGGTTGGGATTGATGGAGAGGGTTTGTTGGGCAGGACTGACACGATGGATTCAATCCTCAAGAGGAATAAACCAGAACAAAAGTCATGGATGGATGGTGATGCTCCCTGAGAGCCATCCCATAAACAATCCATGGAACCATCCAGGGAGAGATCTGTTCCCTGGGGAGGTTTGGAGGCATTCCCACAGCTGCTGCTTTGGGCTGAGGTGCAGCACAGGAAACGGGAGGGAAGCAAAGGGAAATTTGGTCCTGCCCAGCTCATAACTCAGGGAGCAAAACCACCTGGAGGGGACATCAGAGCAGGAGCTTTTCTTGTTGGCATCAAGTTCCTCAAGCTGTGCCAATCCAGAGCAGTGGGAGGCATTTGCAGGAGGGGAAGGGATGTGGCATTCCTTGGGACAGCAAGGAATGTGTGGGGCTGGTGCACACACCAGGCACTGCTTGATGCTTATGTTTAATTATCAAATTATTCTTTACAAAGAATTAGCAAGGGGGCTGGACCTACAGCTTTGATTGCCTCTAGAGGATTTAAATCAACCCAAGTTAGCTTGAACTTGTTAGTGAAGTCAGGGAATGCAGGTGGACAAGTACTGGTATCAAGGAAGATTTTCCATGCTTGACTTTGGCCCCCCATTCAATTTACACATTTATCTGAAATTTTGTATTTGTAAAATCTGGAGGCCAGCCTAGAGCCAGGTAGGATTTGTCACCTCTTCAGACATTTTATCTCAGCAAAGAACCAGGAACTTTGTGAGCAGACACTGGTTTCAGGACCTGAGGATTCTTTTTGTGCAATTTTTGTTGTCATGAGGACACCAAGGCTAAAATAGAAAAACTGGTAAGAAGGAACCAAAGGATCTGTGGTAACTTTACCTGAAAAGATCCAATGCAGAGCTCCAAATAAAGCCGAACTCCCAGGCTGGTATATTCTGGGAGGAAGTTGAAGACAATGTAATGGGTTCCAAATAAAGGAATTAGAAGCAGAGTCGACCTTGAGAGACGTCTAGCACAGGAGATGAGAAGAAATAAGGTAATGTTATTTTTCTAAGTGAAAACAGTAGTGAGCAGAAGTGAAAAAGAAACTAGTATATACAAAAATATATATAAAATAGAAATAAATATGCTGGCTACCTTTGCAGTTCTCATACAGAGAAAGGCAGCTATAGAGGATCATCATTCCTGTCCTAAATAATAGGTTTATTGCCAATTTAGTTAATTTAGTTGTCTCCCCATTGATTTTAATTGGAAGGCAGACATCTGAGCTGATCTGAATACATCCTATTAGCTAATATGAGGTGACTTGAATCTCACCCTTTGACTAATTTCCTTTGGAATGGGATAAGGTTGGGAATTCTAAAATTTAATACCAGTTAAACTGAGCCTGTCTGTGACACTGAGTAAGTACTTCTCTGTTTAGAAAATACAACATAACTTTTTATTATTATAACTAAAATAATTGAGTTTTTAAAAATTATTCCATACATCACCTGTACTGAGAAGAATTATTGAAGTTGATTTGTCTAGGGTCTAGTTTTTTCAGCAAAATTCTGATGATGTTGATAAATAGGATAAAATTGACCTGTTCACAGCATTTGAGGGGTGGGAGAGAAGGAAAAGAAAAGGTTAATTTCTGATGTAAAACTTTGCAGTAAAAATCTGGTGGGTTTTTGTTGTTGTTGTTTTTCATTTGTTTGTTTGTTTTTAATTTTAGTTACACTGTAATTTCTGCAGTTTCAATGTAAGGTCATTAATGCTATTCCTGCTTGCAGCATTCAAGTATTTAAATAAGTTGCATTCCTGCTTGAAGAAATGGCTGAAGATGAAAACTGGAGACTTTCACTTCATTCAGATAAATATTTTCGTCACTAGCTTGTGTGACTCTCTTTTACCTTCTGTAGCTCAAATCAGTTGGATTCTCCTTAGGGACAAATATTGCATTAAATTCTGGCTGATCTCTCTGGGCACAATTAATAGAATTTTTCTGCCTAAATACCTCTACAATGAGATATTTCTATCAGAGCTGATCACCCTGTTCTGCCTTGCAGTCGGTGGGGAATCAGCCAGGAGAGTTAATAGAGCTTCAGGTGGGCTTGGGGGCAGGTCACCTCCTCCCAAGGTAGATATTTCTGTTAAATCAGGTGAATCACTTGCCAAAAGTGCATATTTCACTTTGCTGGCTCTGAAGGAGCCCTTGAGGGGCATTAGCTCAGCTCCAAAGCAGTTAGAATTAATCCTAACTTGCAGATCAATTCTTTTAAAGTTGTAATTTGGCAAAGCTTTATGCATAGTCTGTGAGGATGCGCAGCTTTCCACGACAGAGGGATTCTCCCCATGCATTTATTTTGAGTGCCTGTACACACCAGCCCTTCCATTGGTGAGGCTGAACGTTTAATTTTGTCTAAGAATGTCCTAATTTTACCAGAAAGTCCAACCTCATTCTATCTATTAGTGATGCTCTATGTGAATTCCAGCAGAAGAAATAACAGAGGTAGAAGGACATGAAATATTTTATTGAAACCCAGTGAGCTCTCATCAGAATTCAACTGGAAATTCTTCACTCACATTGTTTGTGTTTATCTTTAAAGTACCTTCCAATCCAAAGCATTCTGTGATTCCAAACCCCTCACTTACATGCATCTGTTCTTCAATTAAAAAAAGGTTTTTATAGCTGACCTTAAGGTTATCCATTAACTGCTTTCTCAAACACTGCTTCGGTTTAATGACTTGTGGGAGTAAACATTTATGATAATAATTTAAAACCCATCAGTTTATTTAATAAATGTCAGGCTCAAGAGCTGTTATGAGTTTTCAGCTCTGAACAGAAACCTATTTCCCTTGAAAGTTTTGTTTTAAAATTTATGGCTGACTCTGAGCTTTATGCTAAAATATTATTATTATTAAAAAAATATTATAAGGACTGTTTAGTCCACTCACTATTAATTTTAACTAAACTGAAAATTCTAGGAAAGTTTTAATTTGTTTGAAAGACAAACATTTTAGTTTGCACTGGACACAGGTAGTTAACAGTAGAAATTTACTATTCCTCTTCCTACAACTCATCAAAGAAACCAAATTTTAATACAAAAGCCATTTTTTCTTCTAAGTAATATCAGCAAACTCAGAAGTACCTACCCCCACAGAAATTATAATTGGTCCTTTGATTAGCCACCAATAAGGAGAGCCTTGATTAATATCCCAGCATCTGTGAATATGATAGCAAGTTTAGAAAAAGACATGTATGTAATCACTGCAATCAATTAAAAATACAACCCAAAAGTATAGAATAATGTGGGAAACAATGACTTACGCTGTGTCTTCAAAGTAGAATTTTATCAATATCCATATAAGGGTGAAAAGTGCTGGAAAACCTGTCAGATATTTTAAAATAAGGTATAATTAATCCAAGCCTTGTCCACTGAAACTCTGCTGCAATGCTGAAGATCAATCATTTTTGAGAGCTTGAATTACCTTTTGGGGTCAGTTCCTGTAACAGGAATTGTTTTAAATACAGTCCCTAAAACACAAAAAAATGATTCTGTTTGCTAAATTGTCAGGCCTAGCTTAATCTTTGGTGGCAACAGGCATGGATTTCCCTCCCTGAAGCACCCACTTGATTTCAGATTTCTAAGTCTGAACAATTCCATTTATTCCAGACAGAATCAATAACAAAATCAGAGGGGAGATATTGCTGATTCACTGCCTGTCTTGTTATTAGTGGACAGAGGTGCTTCATTCATACAATATCTCAGTGCAAAAGATGGGCTGTAGAAATACCAGGAATAAATAAATTAAAAAAAAAACTGCTCAGGAAAAAACAATTCCCTTTCCCAATCTGTGTAGCCATTCTGCACAAACAGCAGCAAGGCACATTGAACTCTGGTGTTTGTGATAACTCCTTAGAGGTGACCATGTTTTCAGTGGGGTGAAGAAGCTTAAGACTGGAGGGTGTCTACTTGTGCATTCTCAAATATAATTGATTTTCCACCCCTTTCACAGGGGCTTTGTTGCCATAAAAAACTTGATTGCTTCTGGCTAATACGTACATAAAAATAAAATGGAAGCAACACCCAGGTTAGGTACTTTAGTAAGGTCAGTTGGGTTCCACATCCAGTATTTTTAATTGGAATGATCATGGAATCATAGAACCATAGAACTGTAGAGTCATAGAATCATAGAACCATGGAATCATGGAATCATAGAGTCATAGAAATGCTTGGGGGAGAAGGCACCTTAAAAATCACCTGGTTCAAACCCACAAGGACACCTTCCACTATCCCAGGCTGCTCCAAGCCCCATCCAACCTGGCATTGGACACTTCCAGGCATGGGGAGTCCACAGCCACCCTGGGCAACCTGTGCCAGGGTCTCACCTCCCTCACAGTACAGAATTTCCATGTCCCATCACTCCATTCCTTGGGAAAAGTCCCTCTCCAGTTTTTCTGTACCCCCTGGAAGTTGCTCAGTGGTCTCTGTGAAGCCATATATTCTCCAGGCTGCACAACCTTATTTCACACCCTGACATTCCCTAATCTCCTGTAAAATCCGTGCCTACCCCAGCCAAAGAGAACCAGCCACCAAAAATATCTTCTTCCATGAGACAGGGATGAGAGCAGCAGGCAGTTTAGGTAGAGAGCCTCCACCAGCAGCCACATGAAATTGGTCATCATGAAGTAGTGGCAGAAAACCACGGAGATCTTGCATTCAGTCTGAGGAGCAGGAAAGTCACAGTTTAGGCATTGCATGGAGAAACATCTCTTTGGTTTGACCATGAGGTAGACATCTGTGATATTGCCTGAGTTCTACCAAGAACAAGATCTCACTATTAACTCAGGTTTAAACTGAGAGCTTCAAATGTGAAATGGATTTCTGAGAAGTAAGTCTTTAACCATCATAATGCCCTGGAATCCCCTCTGCATTTTGCTTTCTATCTCTGTGTTAGAAATGTAACTTGGGCTGCCAAGCATGTGAGTTCTCTCACAAATTCACTGTCTTAAGTGTACCTTCAGTGTCAAATGCTCCTTGAATAAAAGTTCAAGGACCCATTTTTCTCCTTATGCTCAGCTCTGAAATTCTGTGTGGCTGTGGGAAGCGCAGAACCATCCCATAAAACTCTGCTTGAAAACCATTGCCAAAATCTGGGGCTGGATGAATGCTAAATTCATTGCCTGGTACCTTGAGTGCTTTGTGGTTTACAGATAGAGCTTCCAACCAGAACAGGAAACCCGACATTTCCAGAAGAATAAGCTTAAAAATTTGTCCTTTGATGTACTTAGAGGTCTTCAATTTTATGCTTCAGATTATTGAAACATAACAGTGTAGTGATACTACTTTGTTGCTATGTGAAAGTCCAAATTTAATTTAGAGTACTGCAACATCACAAATTGATGCTGTAATATAGGAGGGCATAATGTACCTATTTATGGAAGTAAAATATACTGAATGAAAGAATTTTATAAATTTCATTACCAGGTTAGAAGGGAAAACAAAAAAACTCAATAAGTAGTAAAAAAGAGGGAAGAAAAGTGAAACCATAAATAAATGGTACATAAAACCATCAAATACAACAATATTCTGCTTTTCACGTGCTTACTGTGGAGAAGCTGCAGTGATCAATGCCTTCCTCCTGGAAAAGGACAGCATCCTTAATGAAAATGGCAATAGCCTTTAAGATGAATGTAAAAAAGAGCTGTACATGGATATAATTCCTGGGACAGCGAAGCCTCCTGCAAGAGAAGAAGCGAGGTCCCTCTGAGGTAATTAACTTACTTGTGCTGGCAGCAATTAAAATAAACAATAAGCTCATGTTTTATCTCAGGTACTTCCAGACACATTTAGGAAGAACTTTTTGATCCACTGAGCTCTTTCAGAAAGAGGCAGAAAACTTCCTCATGTGGAGCAAATCAGCCACAATCTACATCTTAATCTCTTTACTTGTTAACCAGAATTATAGTTTCTGCCTTACTTTGTCAAAGTTATTTTGATGAATTAAGTAAAAGCACAGAAGAGCTTTAAAACAATCTGGCAGATCTACTTATAATTCAATTTGAACATCTTTAAATTCAATTTACACCTAACTTAAAGTCCCAGTTAACTAAGATTAAATTTTTGCTGTAATTATATACAGATTTTGGAGGGAGTTATACAGCTTCATGTTTTCATTTGGAGATGAGGATTTGAGTTAATAATCAAAAAGTTCCACCAAAAGCCAAATTCTATCCAGACCCAGTAATCAGGGGGTCACCTAATCTGAAAGTTCACCTGGAGTGTGCCGAATTTTATTGCTGACCTCAAATGTCAACCCTATTGTTAATTATGACTTTTTCCTCCCTATTACTCCGTCCCTTTATGTCCATTGTTTCTTTCTTTCCCCTCATTTGGGCTGGTTTGTTTTCCTGAGGTCAGAGTGGATGTCAATAAACATATCTGGTGGCTTCCAGACATGAACTAGGAACCAGCAGAGGTCAAGAAACTTTCCCTAGAGAATCCTGATTCTCACAGCATAATAATAAAACTCCTGCCTTTTTTTTTTGTCTCACAGGAATACAAGAAATAAACAAAAATTGATAAAATAAATCCCACGTGGTGGAAAACATTAAATCTACATTAAATTATAAAATACATTAAATACTCTTAATTAGACCTAAAAATACCTATAAAATAGTTATAAAATACCTAACTCGGTAAGAAAAAATTCTCACCAAATGTGACAAAATTCTGAAAATAACTTTAAAACATGTCTTTAGTGGTAAATGTTTCAATAGTAATCTATACAATGCCATAGGAATGTTTATTCAGAATCAAGTCCTTTGTGTATATTCTTATTAAAAATTCCATGGAGCCATAACAGCCAGGAATGCATAGTTTATGGAAAAAATCTTGATTCCAGCCTAAAGCAAATAAATTTTTTTGTTGGTTCTTCAGGATCAAAGTGAGTTGCTGAGTTTTGCCAAGAGACAGCCAGGGTTTATTTCCAAGATCTGAATCTTCTTATTCCTGGCTCTCTCTGATGCCTTTTAATTTCCAGCTTCAGTTTCATATTATTTAACCAACATGGCTGAATTTTTTTGGTTTTATTCATCTGAATTTCTATTTGTATAGTTTTGTTATGTCTAATGCTGTATTCCACCGTCTAAGAAATTAAAAACTATGAAAAGAATTGAGGTTAGAGGACACCTTTACCTGAATGCAATCAGAACTGTCACAGCAATGATGAGGGAGGTGATGGACACGCTGTATCCCACAGTGTAGATGATCTTTATAGTATAAAAGTAGGATTGCTGGAAAAGAGAATGATTTGTCACACAAGTTGCTGTTAAATGACAGCTTTTTTACTGATTCTGTCAGTTTTGCTCTGTTTGGTGCTTCCATTCTGTTGATGTCCCTGACTGCTTTTTTCCCCCTCTTGAAATCCTACAGCAAAATTCAACTTAAATCTTAATTATGTATATCTTAATTTAACCTTAAATCAAACTTAATTACGTTTCTTTTGTGTAGTCCCATTCCATAATTGTGTGGATACAGCCCAGTCTGGTGCTGAAACATGTATTGATTAGGGTCGTTTGAAGCTCATTCACAAAACCATAAAAACCCACAGCAGCCTTCAAAAAGGCATAGTTCAAAATCTTATGCAAATTTTATAAATGCTGTGTTCTATACCATGTTTTCTCCCCAGTAGTAGCAGGACAATGCTGCTGGCAGCATGGTGAATACAGAAATCTCTCACCCTTTCTCTATTTTTCTCCACTTTTCTATTCTCTGTTTCCTTACTTTAAATTTTGCTGTCTATTCCTCCTTTCAATTTTTATTATGATGTGGTGGGTTGTTTTTTGTCTTGGTTTGTTTTTTGTTTTTTTTTTTCTTTCTTTCTGGGGTTGTTTCTTTCCTCTGCTTTTCTTGCTGCCAAACTCAACTGCTGCTCAGTTGGAATGCCAGTCAAAATCCATTTCTATTCAAATGGCTCCTCTATCAGACACGATCCCTGAGTGAGGATAAGTTGACTTCAACTATCTCAGATGAAAGCACAAAACAGAATGAACAAGCTCTAGGCTGCAAATGTAACTCCAGTCTAACACGATCTGTCTCTTGGGTCCCATTTCAATGTTTTTATAACCTAAAATCTGCACAGCTGTGCAGTGCATTCCTACAGTTCACTTGGGGAAGGGGAGATGCTCATTTTGAGCCTTAAGGGGAACTTTAGGCATTAAAAGATCGACATTTATTTAATTTATTTAGGTGCTTAAAAGTTTGCTGCCTATATATGAATCTGTAGTAGAACAAGAAGAACCTGGTCACAGGGCTGATCTGTTTAATTTTGAATACAAACATGATTTTTTTCTCATCCTTTTTCTTTTATAGTTAATGAAGGAAAACACTCTCAGAAGACAATTCAAGTCTTCAGAAAATGAGACCTTATTGATTTCTGTGACCAGCAAAAAGGATCTATCACTACACTTGCCTTAGAAAGAGCAGGTCATAGAATCATAAATCCTTGACTGGTTTGGGTTGGAAGGGACCTCAAATATCATCTACTTCCAACTCTTGGATTAGTAAAGTGAAACCTTTTATGCCAAGGACTTTGCATCCAAGTGTGCAGATTTATGATTATCCACAGTCTAACCTAATGGGCTGAGCTGTTATTATTGGTCAGAGCACAGCAGGTGCACCCTGAATTTGCCTTCCAGTTCAATTTTATCCATAAGCAACCAGATTATCCTTTCTGAGAGCATGCCTCAGTGTGAATGCAGTAAGTGGGGACAGGCAAGAAATATCCCTGGAAAATTCCCACCTGATCCTGACCAAAGCACTGAGACAGATCCACGGTGCAGAAATTAGCTCTGACTTTCACAGTATTCTTTTGAGACTGATGAAGTTAAATGGGGTGGAAACAAGGCATAATGGTTTTTTTTTTTTCTTTTTGTCTAGTGGGTGAACTGTGAGTTGTATAGGATTACCCAAATCCCTGACTATGCACAATTCCAGCCAGAGCTCACTGAAGTACCTCAGAGCTCCAAAGCTTGCTGGGAAGTCTGGATGCACCACTCCATGAGAAACATCAAAACTGCGCTAGGCTGACCATAGCTGGCAACAAATCAGCTGTGCAAAACATAAAATAACCAACTCCTTAAATAGACAAACATACAACTGAGGAGTTTCCTCTAGGTAGAATAATGGAATCATCACAAAATAGGTTGGGAGGGATCTTAAAGCTCATCCAGTGCCACGTCCTGCCATGGGCAGAGAAAACTTCCACTATCCCAGGTTGCTCCAAGCCCCATCCAACCTGGCCTTGGAGACTGTTCGGGATCCAGGGCAGCCACTGTCAGCTTCTCCGGGCACCCTGTGCAACATCTCCCCATGGTGATATGAACCATGTTTTTATCCTTATTAATTAGGGGTCAAGGACTATATTTCCCCTGTGCCTGTAATCTCAAGATACCATCAACAGTGAAAATCTGGCTGAAGAAATATGTCACATTCTGATCTGCATTGCAGAGATTACAGAGATTTTGGGATTTTTTTTTTCCATTGTTGAATTAGATATTTCATGCAGGATGAGACACCCAAAACCCCTCTTTTCCTTAGATATCGCTAAATTTGGAACAGTGCTCTTTTAATAGCATATTTTCTGTACTGATGCTGTGATACTACAAAGTCATCTTGCTGACTTATATTACTGAAATGTCTTAATACAAATTTTTTGAACATTTTGTACTACATCTTTGTCTATTATACTTGTGCATTTGCAGCTGGCTTTATTATTGTTACACCTGAATAATAAAACATTCTCAGTCATCTTACAAAATAGGTGGCCACAGTAAAAATTTGAATTATATCTTATACTTAGAAAGGAATTTCTGCTTCTTCTGAGTTCTCCTCTTCAGTGACCTTCAGGAATAGAAAGGAATACTATAACATCAGCCCACCATTCACATATATTTATGGAATTAAACTTACTTCTTCAAGAGGAATCTCATCTTCTACTGGACATGCCACATGGTAGGGAGGGAATGGGTCAGACCAGCCCTTTTTTGTGCAGTTTCTTTTTATCATCCCAGCTGAAAAAGAAGTATTTGATTTTCTCAATGCAGGACAAGATAATATAGAAAATAAAAACCAGGAGAAGACTTCTGGCTGGTACAAAGTTGTACCAGGAGAAGAGGATCATTAGCATCTCACAGAGTCAGTAGGACAATTTTCCCATGCACATTCAGGTCATCAGACACAAAATTTTGTATTTTATTTGTAGACAAACAATGGGAAGAAGGGAGAGAAAGAAGAGGTGATGGGAAGGACTAAGGAAGGAATTATATCAGGTACACTGCAGAAATTGGGAACCACTGTTCCATAAATTTCTGCTCTGCACAGCACTCACACTTCTCCCATATCCCTTCTCATTCCCACCTCCCCTGGGGCTAATGCTTCCCTAGGAGATCAGAAACTGGGATAAGCAGCCCCTTCCACGAGGACAGCACGCTTCCACAAAAAATATTTATGAGTCAGACGAAGGAGAAGTCGAGAATCTCAGGGCAGGAAATGAATCTGCACAGATGAAAGGGATTTTCCTTATCCCTTGTTTATAACTAGCATGTGTTGGATGTGGCAGAGGTTGGGCTTTGCAGTTTCTTTTTCTTGTGGAACTGCCAAATCCAGGTCGTTCATGGAGGGTGGTTTGCTCCTTGTGGGCTCACATTTTGGTACTGGCCATGCTCACGCAGAGAGGAAGCAGGCACAAAGGCATTTGTTTGCAGTTTTGCAGCACATGTGCTGCTCCAAGGCCTAAATTCTGCTTTGTATCTCCAACCCTGGTCTTAAAGAACAATCACATTGTTCATTCCTCTGCCTTTCATTTCATCCCACACCCATCACAGCATAAATCTCAAGAAACCCCAAGCTTAAATTCTGACCTAGACAGCCTCCAGATGAGCTTTGTAGGAAACTCACACAACAAACTGATCCCAAAGCACATGGAAACCAAGGAATCACTCCTTGTGTTTCAGTAGATTTTTGATCCAGGGCCTCATCAGAAACAATGGAAATCAAATCCTGTTATGGATAATCCTTAAAAAATGAGAAGAACTGCTAAAATCCTCCTAAAGTCTTTGCACTACTTGTCTGTTCCAGCTCATGACAACATGAAATTATCTGTCTTCACCCTCCCTTTTTAGAAATGTTCTTGCCAGACACACAACACAGTAACCATGGTAGGACATCACCTGGCTCCTTCATGAAGTGAAAGAGGATGTTTGGACATGGTAAGACAAGAATCTCTCCAGCATTTGCCTCTGGCCAGCACAGCAATTTGTCCCAAGTTCTCTTGCAACCTCAGGCAGAAAATGAAATATATTTTTAAGCATGGTTAAATTTGAGTGAAATAAAACCCCAAACCTTTTTAAACTTTGCCACTCCACCCCTTCCATATCTTATAAAAATAGTTTAGCCACAGGTTTTATTATGAGAAATAAACACCCCCAGAGTGCTATTTAATCTGCTTTAGTTAGACCCCTGTGTTAGACTGAGGTGAGTTTTCAGAAAGAATGCAATAAATGAAGAGTGATGATGGAAGAAAAAAGGATCAGATCATCATAATTGTTCAGAGGTTGCCCTATTTTTAAAGATCAACATACCCTCACAAACAAGCAAGCATGATGCCAAGGAATGGGACAAGGGCACAAGGATTTACTCTGATAAATTGACTGTCCATATTTGAATGGGAAGGACACTGGAAAAAAGAAAAGAATGGGAAGGAATGGGAGTAGATGGAAGAAGAGCTGGCAAGACAGCAGCACATGGGACCATAAATAAAACCCTCATGTCCTTTGGCAGCCTGGCCATGTCCTGACTCTGGTCCCTTCCCTCTCCCTCACACATGGAGGGATACCTGGTGATGTTGCATTTCCATGCTCTTGTGGGGCCTCCAGACATTCAGCCTCCTTTTTCTTCAGCTCTACCATTAAATCACATTCTGGGTGGACATTGCCAGCAACCTAAAGGTAGGAGAGTTTTGGGGGATTAGTTGGAAGGGATATTGGATGGGATCTCATCAAGCATTAAGTCCAGACATACTTTTTCATCTAACAAGGCTGGTTTAAGGACACAGAACAGTGGTGGGGGTTTCCATCCAAAGGCTGCTACTGTCTCTGCACAAGCTGGTAGTTACAGCTCTGTACTGGAAAGTTTATAAACTCCTCTGGCTACATTCATAATAAAAGATCTCTTTGCTAGAGCCTGAGTTTGAGTGCAGGATTCATTTCCACCCTAACTTTAGCTAGATCCTGTTAAATATGGCCCTAGAAAGGCACACTGCACCTGATCAGGCTCATTTTCTTATTAGTGAAGGGCTCAGTGCTGCAGGAACCTGTGCACAGACAAAGCCCTGCCAACCTCCAAAGAAGCATCTTCATGAAATCACAGACAATTGCTGCAAACCTGTCTCCTGAAAGAGCTCTTCACTCCAAAAGGAGTGAATCTGTTCTCTCCCTTCTGCCATCTGCCTTTCTCTACACAGGGTAGGAGGCAAAATTCCTTTATTGGTGAACAAAAAAAGCACTCTGCACCAAAGCATTTGTTGGTTTGGTATGATGGTGTAAAGAAAAAAGTGACACACAGGGTTTTAATAGCAGGAGACATTCAGTTCTTTAGTCCTTATTTAGACTTATATGGGAACCACAGAAGGATCTGAAGGTATCCAGAGAACTTTGGGTAGTCAAGGACAAAATCTGCCCAGGCTGTTACACCCAGACTAGTGAGGATGCTCCCACTAGGCAGGAGTGCACAGGACTATTTCACATAAATTAAAAAAAGGTGTGCCTTGTCCAGCTTTAACCTCTGTCCCCAGTCACAAAAGATGAGTCGTGATCAGAGACACTCTGACTTTTTTCTCTATGCCCTGGCCACTGGTGCTGGTGTGCTCTGCATGTGTGAATATAGACACAAAAACAGAGACAAAACAGAAAATGAGCCCAGGGTGAGACTTGCATGGTGAACAGGTGGCTGGCATATGGCTCAGTTTGCTTCCACCCAGAGAAGATTCATATTCAGGGAATTTGGAAAATAACTCTCTGACTTTCAGTTCATTCAGAGGGCAGATTTTATCCTTTCCAATATGCTAGTGTTTCCCCTCCATGTTAATGTCCATGTCTCATGTTGGCCTGCAGAGCATTTGAACTGCATATTGACCAAAAATTTGAGGCTCTCAGGCTGTTGGAAAACACTGCATTAATTACACAGCCTTTGTTTTTCTGGGGTTTGGGCCCTGGTAGTTAAAAATGTCATTATCTCCACATGTATGCCCTGCAAGATCATCTGCTTCCCATTTACTGCACTTTTAGGAGGATGTGGTTTTCCTGCCAAATTTGCAGACAGCAGTGCCATGGATCAGTTTAAGGCAGAAGTGAAAAGCAGGGCTCCTTCTCCAGGCTGAATGTTCGGTGTGTGTGAGAGGAGGGTAACTGTGGATGGATGGATGGATGATGGATGGATGGATGGATGGATGGATGGATGGATGGATGGATGGATGATGGATGAGGGATGGATGGATAGATGGATGGATGGATGGATGGATGGATGGATGGATGGATGGATGCATGGATGGATGGATGCATGGATGCATGGATGCATGGATAGATGCATGGATAGATGCATGGATGGATGCATGGATGGATGGAGTAGAGAACAGACATGGCCCTGCCCAAGGAGGAGGAAATCTGTGGGATGCCCCAGGGATGTCATCCAGATCAGTTAAACCAGAGGGTCTAGGGAGATCCCACATTTCTCTTCATTAAAAAATGCAATGTGAGCCAGAATTACAGAAAATTAGCATCTGTCTTGAAAAGCTTTGCTGTCTTGATGCCTCTTTTCATGCCAACATAAGTTATTTCTCCCCTTGTACTCACCCTGGACAGTAACTGCAGGAAAATACCCTAACCACAGTGTATGACAGCTATTGCAAGAAGTAGCTTTATTAGTCAGTAGAAAAAACAGTTGAACTATTCACTGAAAATCTCTTTTACAACATTCTCTTGGTTCTGTGAACTGTGCCCAGAAAAACCTCAGCAGGAGGAAATGCACCCATTTGCACTATTCTAAATTATTTCTCCTGGCAAAAAGCATTGCTAGATTTTGCCTGTCAAAACTCTCTTTGCTCTCTGAAATGTTCATGGCAAGAGCAAAGCTTGTTTGGCTCATTCACCAGTCCAGGAAACTCCAGGAAATTCTTTTTTTCCCCTTTTACTTTCTAAGTCTCCAGGCTGTGAGAACACTTAATTTAGCACATGTATCTCGAATGAAAAGATGAGGCTGATCAAGTACCAGGTATTTAAACTGTAGCCTCTTCCTTCAAGAAGAACCAGCCTTAGGAGGTGCTGTCACAGCTTATTTTCAAGTCAGCCCTAACCACTGCCTGAACAGACACTGAATGCCAGATCTGATACGACAGAAACTCAGGTTAAATAAGCTAGGAAGATTTATTCCACTCCCAGACTGTGTTTTAGGTATATTTATCACCTCAAAGCACTTTACCTCTAGCAGACCCCAGTTTAAGGAGATGAGAGTCAGTTTCTTAAACATTCCAAACCTCTCCAGGAGCTGAGTTCATGTTTTCCAGAGAAAGCATATGAAGAAATTATACCCACAAAAAAAAAAAAAAAAAAAAAAAAAAAAACCAAAAAAAAAAAAAACCAAAAAAAACAGAGGGGTGCTTTTCTACAATTTTATACTCCAATGATGATTGTTTCTCTATCCTCTAATAGGCAACACATGCTAGGAGGTTTTCATTATACACTAACACATAGACTTGGTTTTGATCAGTATATAATAATATAGCAAGGAACCCAACTTTGTAGAAAAAAATTCTGTTTCTCTTGGGTAAATGGGGCAGGTTCTTACAGAGACCCTCAGTCATATTTTGAACCATTAGCACTAAATAGTAATATTCTACTTAAGAACAATCACACTGATCTACTCTTACTACAGGGAAGTGGGTTTGTCACACAGGTGGTACAAAGGAATCTCTTGTTTCACATCAGTAAAAAGTCTGTTCAGCCATTTCACAGTGGTTTATTGTCCTCAATGAAGAAAATAAACCAAGCTGCTGTGCCACCCCTCATGAAATGTCCCTTCAGGGAAGAGATTCCCAGGAAAGAAGAAAGGATGTAGAGGAGGCAAAAGGAAGATGCTGAAGATGTGATTATTCTCAAATGCAAAGATAATATCCTGCCCTCGATTTGCACAAAACTTTCCTGATACTGGTGTGATCCTGGATCTTGGTTTAGCAATCTCTGTCCAAATTGAGATATCTCCAAGACCTCCAAGCTTTTTAATGGCTTTGGCTCTTTCTAAATCTGCCCTAAACATCTCTGCTGGTTCCACTCTTTTGTTACCTGCAGCATCTCAGCTGCTCACATGCCAAATAATATCAGTTCTGCCACTAAGGCAGATGAAATTGTAACAAAAAACCTGCAGAATCTGAAATGAAAGAAAATTCTGTCAAAACTCATCTGGTGTAACAGCCCTCCTCCAGTTTTTTCTTCTTTGCTGCTGTCTTTCAAAGCCCCCACATAGAAAATAAGAGTTTCTCTTTATGTGTTTCTCTTTACTGAGTGTGTCATAAGATAGCAGAGAAATAAACTGATATAAACGTGGGTCCCTACTGCTGCTGTTCACACTTTTCATTGCATCTTGCCTTGTTTAACTGGAATCTAAAGCAAACAGAGAGAAAAGAAACTCATTTAAAAAATATAAAAATAAAGCTGTTTCTGACCATCTGCTCCCACAAGGAAATGAACAATTATTGAAACACAATGATGTAAAAGCTTTTTTTTTCATGCAATTACTTACAAGCACTGCCAGACTCAGGGTGTGCAGAGCACAGTGATATAAAGAACAAGAGTTCATGTTCCAAAGCAAGAGCCAGACCTCACTTCTTCAGCTTCTCTTAGCATCTTTCACCTGCTTTTTGACTTCTTTTTCTCCTCTCAGTTGCTGATTTGAAGCATTTATCTTTTTACACAGAAGTGACGTAACAGGGATGTGAAGTGGGAGATAAATATTAACAATTCTCCACGCTGTGTTTAAGCTTTGCAACTTTTTGACTTTGCTCAAAGACTGGACTGGATGAATTGAGTGATTGATGCCAGGATTATGGAAATTCTCTATGCTCCTGGCAAGACTCATTTCTCTCTTTTAACACAAAATGGTTTTGGGGGGATGGACAGAACTGAATGTTACTAATCCCATATTAAATCAACATGATTGGCATAAGAGAAACACTCTCCTAACAGTTATTTTCAATTTTTTATAATGAAACCTTTTTGTTATGTGAGTCCAGCGTGTCTGGGTGTTTCTATGGAGTGTAATGAGCACAGTGCTACACTTCAAGATGCAAAATCAAACCCTGACAGGCATGTGAACAAAAATTTTGCTGTGTACCTGTTTGGGCATTGAGTTCAAGGCAAAATTCACATAGAATTCTTCCCAGTTTGCTTCAGACTTCTGAAAGTTCAGTGTCTGAATGTTAATGAGTCAAGTCCTTTAGCCAAAGTCTAGAAAAACAAACATTCAGCTCATTCATCTCGTCCTGAGCTTCAAGGCAGGGCAGCTGAATCCCACCCCAGAAATACCCATTCTCACTCAGAGCTAAAGGAACATTTATTTTATTTTTCTATCAGCTGGTACCATCTTGAAGGACTTCAAACTCCCCATCAACATTAGGCAAGTGTCAACACCGCAAGATCAGAGGTTCAAGATATGAAATCCCTTTCAAATATTGTTCTCTGCTCGTCTCTTCTCCTGTCATACCATTCCTTACATTAATTTATGAAACCCAGCTCCCAACCTCCCACAGCAGTCCATCCTACAGCTCTGTTTGCACCTCTGGCACTGCTCTTTGTCCATCAACCCTGCTCATCTTTCTTCAACTATTTCAAATATCTTCTGTCTACTTCTCTACAGATTGTGGGAATGCTGAGCCTGGAAAGGAGCCTCTCACCTTCCAGAGTCACCACAGCTGTGAGGAACTGAAGTTGTACCTACTTTTGGGAATGTCTGTGGGATTGAAGTGTCCAGGGCTTGGCTGTAGTTGAGTCTGGGAGGGAAATGAGCATATCCAATGCAAGAAAATATCTTTGGAGACTGAAGTGGGCAACTTTTCCTTGCAGTGCGTGCTTAAGGATTTGTTTCATTTTCTCCAAAAGCCTTATGGCTTTCTTAATTATTTTAACTTTCAAAGGCTCATCTAAAGCAAAATTAGGGCTCTGTTCCTGTCAGTTTTCCTGAGGATGAAGCTCTAGACTGTTAAATGAACACTTGTAAACGTATTTATCATGGGCAAATCTCATACTTTTTTCCCAAACTAATTTCAGAAGCTACAGAATCTCAAGAACTGAAAGATACAACTGCAGAGGTGTAACATGGAAAAATTTCAGCCCATAATGTTAAAATTACTTTTTCACTAGTTATGAAAAAAAGCTGGTAAGAGAAATTAAAGCTACAAAATTTTAATTCACCATCACACATACCTCCAAATCATTTTTGGTGACAATATTCAGTTCTTACCTGCATTTTGCTGATTACCTTGTATTCCCATTTAGGGACAGTATAAATATTCAGGTTGTCCTGAATTCAAAGTGTTTTCAGTAGTAAGACTACAACAGTTAGATGTCTTACAAACATTTAATATTATTATAACCCTTGAAAATTTATAAAACCATCATGACCAGTGCTGTCATTACAAGCTCATGCCAGAATTCGGACACATTCTCTCTCCCCTCCTTCCAAAACATTACGGATTTAAGAAAAAAATTCTGGCTGAGTGTCCATCATGTTTCCTGCAATGTATCAGTGCTTTAAGGTTAATAATCTTTAGGCTGCCCCACAAATTGTCTACTGATCATGCACCCCACAGCCACTTTAACCAGTGTGTGAAGAAAGATCATGAACAGACCCATTTCAGAAGAGCAACATCTCCCGTTCCATGGGGATGCACTTTTTTTGGTCCATGTTTTAGAAAAATAAATTGCCTCTGAGTAAGCTTCTGCTGTCCACATCAGAATTTTCCATTTCAGCCACCACATCTGAACCATTCCATGTGTTTATTCAGTGCTGTTGAAGTCATGGCTATAAAAACCACAGAAGGCATTGCCTGCCACTTTTCATCCTAGGAGGGAACACAGAGAAACCCCAGTGCACAATATCTCAAAAGGTTTTCATTTTTCAGGCAGAATGAATATTGGTATGGAGGGGTTTTATGCTGAAATCTCCAATGTAGGAACTCTGCTCACCATGGATCATTTTGGAAAACCTGGCTTTTCTGTATTTTCAGCCTGGTTCTGCCAGTCTGCAGTGCAGACATTCCATTAAAATGAGTTCCTTCCTACTGTCGCTGTTGTGTGCAAATTTCCAGCTGTTTGTGGTTAAGGAGAAAGACATGTCTAAACGAAAAGAATGGGCTTATGGGTCTTTTTTATTATTATTATTTCATTAAAATGTTTTGGGTTTTTTTAAATTTAAACAAAAAAGTTTTCACAATAACCAACAGAACTTCAAGCTGCTTAGTTTCACCATAAAAGCACATTTGAAGAACCAGTTTTCAATAGGCACAAACTTCTCACTTCCTACCAGTCCTTGAACACCACCAGCTCTGCAAGACTTCTCCCACACTCCTCCTGAGCACAGGCAGGCACGTAGTAGAACAGTAATTACTACATCTTCTCTCCACTCATCACCTCCAGCATCAACACACTCCCTGTTCCAGCAGCTCCTCTGCCAAGTTTTCTAGTGGTGGCAGTTTGCCTTCAGGATGGCACAGTTGCAGAGGATACACTGGATATGCAGTAAAAGGAGCTGCTTTTCTCCCCATGAGCTTTCCAAAGGTGAAAACCTGACATTTTCACTACTCTCTCAAATCCCTTCCAGCTCTGTGTGGAATGGTTTTAGTTTTTGTTAAAAGTTTGCACAGTTTATAAAATATTGGCTGATTTCACAACTTGTTGCCTCCTCCCAGCCCTGCCATCCCTGTTCCCCACACATAGAACAATATCCCAAAACTTACAAAAACTTCTTGGGTTTTTTTGGCCACTTTTTCTCCCTCTACAAGACCCCTCCATTATCACAGAATCACAGAATTCTTTGGCTTGGAAGGGACATTAAAATCATTCAGCCCCAGACTTCCACAACACCAGGTTGCTCCAAGCCCCATCTAGGCTGGGCTTCAATACTTCCAGGAATGAGGTTTCCACAACTTCTCTGGGGAAACTCTTGTACTTACAAAGACATTTACACAAAGATTAATCTACAGCTGAAATGTTCAACAGGGTTGGACAGGGCTTGGAGCCACCTGGGATAGTGGAAATTGTCCCTGTCTGTGGCAGGGGGTTGGAACTGGTCTTTAAGGTCCCTTTCAATCTAAACCAGTTCATGATTCATTATTTTAGTTTTCTTATGATAACGGAAAGATGGAGTAAACCTTAACATTCTAAATTATTATTTCACAATTTAACTAAAATAAAAGGCAGTAACAACTTACTCCACTGACATATAAAACCCATGGATTTTCCAAAGCTAAAAGCAAACAATTTGAGTAGAATAGTTACAGCTTCTGAGATGACATTGCTGCAGCTTCATATTTCCCAAGGAACATGCCCCCAAAAAAGGTACTAGAATTCAACATTGAGGGGAAAAAAGCTACAGGTGGCATTTTTCTTGAAGTCATTAATGCAACCAGCAGTGTCCACAGTGAAAATGGAGCTAGGAATGCTTCTGTGGGATACCAAGGTCACCCTGATGGCACAGTCTGATGTGGTGAAAATTGTAATACTGAGAGCAAATCTACAGAGAAATAAAAGGAAAATTCAGTCTCTACTGTTGTCTCACAGAGTCTCTTACTGCCATGATGATTCTTTAATACTATTGAAATTTAGAGAGAAGGTGTGGGAGGGGAGGGAAGGGATGAGGAAGGCTGGGCCTAAGTCATTTAACCACATCTCCAAGAATAGGAGGTTTTGCTGTGCAGACGTGATGGATGAATGTTTCGTTTCTGAGGAAAATAGGGAATGTTCAAAACTTTACACAGCCCAGAGCTCAAAGAAGAATTATAACTCAGGCCCTGAATTATCATTTTTTAAGATTGAAAAATATGCAGAGTCAATAATTATGAAGTCAAGTTAATTTTCCTTGCAGTGTAAGAAGTTGATAATTTTGCCCCTTTTGCTCTTATCATCTATGAAACGGGCTGATGGATTTCAACTAAAGCTGCTTAAACAGCACAAAATGTAGAACATTAACTCTTTATCATGTGAAATTAAATCTGCTTAAGCACTAGAATACTGGGGCCTGTACCAGTGTGCTTGATTGATTTTATTTCCACTGGGATAATTTTTTAGCTTGGCAGCAAGGCTATGGCACAGCCATGCCCACATAGTGCTTCAGCTCTTCTTTTCTCTCCCATTTCAACTTCTTTTGGGCTGCTCCCTCCCTGCCACAACTATTTGTGGGCATTGCAGGGAACTGGAGCAGGGAGCTGATCCAGACTAGAAATACACATATTTTTTCCCCCAGAAGAATCAGTTCCTCAGGGCACCTCATAAATGCTGGCAGTGGAATAGAGAAGGCAGCCTCTGATAGGGGAGTGGGGCCAGTTTTAGCAGAGGGCAGGTGCCCATCAAGGGATGTTTCCAGACAAACAGATTTTGCCATTTGAGTGCTGCATTTAGCATTTCTCCTAACGGGGAAAAAAACCCCAGAAGTTTTGGATGCTGAAATATTGGAAGATGATTATTGTGTGGTCCAAAATATCTCTCTCTCTCTTGCTACTCTTTTAATTTTTTACTCATTAGGACCTTGCAAGTCCTAAAAATGGTCCTTAAATGCATAATTCTTCATTATCCTGCTGGTCATAT